TTTTTTTTTTTTCTTTTTAACGTGAGCATACTGTTTCCGAGGAGGCACCAAGGGGCTTCCATCGAACTTCTTGCGCTAACCGTGTAAAAATTTCTTCTGCCTAGTGTTCCGAAGCTGGTCCATCGTTCTTGGTACTCCAAAGAACGAGCCGGTTACCGATCAGCGTTCCATGAGCATCCTGATCACCTCAAGTGGGATCGAACGTCCCGGACTGTTACCACTCGTAGTCGTGCTGATGGAAGGGATTGGTGCATGGTTGTTGAGCGTGTAGATGGGTCACTATCGGCGGTGGCTTAGCCAGCTCGAATTCCCTGTTGATCACCTCATTGTAGAGCTGCGGAACACAACACGAACGAATTGAAACAACGTGCCTACGCGGTGTTGACAGCGTTGTAAAATAAATAAAGCACGAAAGGAAATAAATTAAAAACACGGGGTGTTTTTTTCTTTTTTTTTTTTTTTTTCGTTCAGAGAGTATAGCCTTGCGTAGAAGTTTTCTCTCTTTTGTCAATTATTTTTCCAACAAACGTCTTCCTTGTGGGGACGTTTTAGTTAGAATGATTTTACTAAACCTGGAAGCTCCTACGGATATACTCGTCCTCGCCATTGCCAGTCATACCGTAATTATATCCACCTCCGCCGCCGCCTCCGGTGTTCAGAAATGGATTCGTCGGGTTCATTGGACCTGGAAACGTGCATATTTTACCGTGTAAATACTCGAAGGAATAATTGAAAAGCTTCGAGCCTATGGTAAATACGTGAAAAGTATATTTTTTTAAACAAATGGCACAAATATTGCGAAATTTTGATTGACGAAGCAATTAACATACTACTGATCGGTTGAGTCACTTATTACGAAATGTTTATTCACTTCTAGAAAACTTGTTACGCATTTTACCGATGACTAAAATTATTACGAAATTTCTCTCTACTTCGCAAATACAAAAGATGAAAGTTTCTCTGATGTTTCAAAAAATTAAAACTGAAACTTTCGTAAAGTCGTAAAGTTTGCTCGATATTCTTGTCTTTTTCTTTTTTTCAGAAGACCTTCCAATCGTGGATCAGTAACTTACCTCCATTCGCACCTGGCACATTGAGACTATCGCCGGCTTGATAAGTAGCACCATAACCCGAATCCTGATTAGCCAACTCGTGCAACCGAGTAGAGCTGAGAGCACGAGGAATGGCGTTGCTAGGTACACCGTGCGGTGCCAAGTGGGTCGCTTCGGCTACTTGATGAGGATCCTCCGTCTGTGGCAACTCGGAGACGAAGCCTGTGTCCTTTCTATAGAAGTTGATGAACACGAACGCGCCAAGAACGACGATACAGAAGAGGCCGTAGGCTCGGAATGTCGCAGTTGTCCCTAAGAAAAGTATCTTTTCATCATCACTGATCTATTTCATACATGAAACAAACTTCCATTAGAAGAAGAAATATATAAAATAAAAAGATTAAAGTGCATAAGAAAGCGTGTCTCATAAATGTTCTCTGAAAATTTCTGGATAGGAATTTTGAACCAAAGTAGGTCGTCATATAATCTCCGAAATTCAAAATATTTCGTCACATTTTGCAATACAATTATAAATTTCTTCTTTGTAATTTAACAAATCCTACGCCAAACAGACTAATCAGTTGACTTCGGTAGTTGTTAAACTTGTCGCTGTTGCTATCGAAATTTATTAAAATTGATAGCTCGGCGACTTGCGACATCAGTTTCACGGGATATTGTTTTAGCGAGTTCAACCTCGATTTATTTCGATTAAGAAACAGCATCGGGGAATTAATAATGCAACATCCTGAATATTCCAAGCCGAATCAATATCGAATAACGTGCGTTTCTCAATCTGGCCTCGACGCGAATCGATAAGACGCCACGCGACTTGGCACACGCGGGTCTCGCCAACAACTCACCGTAAGCGTCGACGAACATTCCACCGATCACAGCTCCGCATCCCCTGCCAAGACCGTGATGGATACCTTGGAGAACACCCTGCGCGCTGGTGCGCAATTGCGGAGGCGTGTTGTGCGCGATGTAGCTGCAACACGCGGCCCAAACGGCCGCGTGAGTTATTCCCTGAATGAACTCGAACGGCAACACCCACCACGGAGTCGTTAGCCAAGATATATAAAGGAAACGGAACACGTTCCCGCCCAGTCCCATGCACAACACCTGAAATTCACGTACATTTACTTTAAAAATAAGTCTCCGAGATTGTAGCCGCACGCGAACCAAGTTTATCACTGCAAGTGTATTACTATTGTTATGCTGTATTATTAGATCTTTGCTAGATTGCTCCTGAGCGGGCATTTATTTTTGCCGAGTATTATAATTGGACTGTGGATGTTGCTACAAATATATAAGGCTCAACGAATGGAACCTAGGAAGGAAAATTGTTCTACTTTTACTAAATATCGTAACGAGCGTTTTGTACTTTTACATGTTCTAGATTCCCGTGAAAATGGATAAAAATTTGCGCTCTAATTATGGCGTTCTTTACATTCGCAGATTATATTATTGAAGGCCAAGAAATCCAGCCGTAGGAATGCGAAGGTTGAGTTGAATGAGGAACTACCTTTACGTGGCCGATTTGACGGATCAGTTTAAAGCTGAAGAAGTAAGCGAATATCTCGGAAATGTGATTGATCACAGAGGCGACGCCGAACAAAGTCGGCGTGCCACCGTAATCCTGAAGATGCCAAAAGAGGAAGGTGAAAATCAGCCCGATACCGAAACCCATGAACCACGCGACGAAGAGGAACGACGCGCATTTGAGGTCCTTGAATTGTTTCAACACGGTCACCCATTCCGGGATCTCTCGCATCGTTTGAGCGAACATTTTCGTCTGGAACAATACGAAGCTCCTTTACAATGCAGAATAGTCTCGAGGGATCGATATTTACCCCTTTGCACTCGCGGGGCATTTTAATCAATCTCTGTAATTGAAAACCCAATTCACGAAAGAAAAATTATGTTCTTCTGTAGTTACGATTTAATTTCCATCAGTGTGTTTACAATTTGTTTGATATATCTTGTCTGAAAGAGCTGCACAAATGATTTCTTATAAGATCACACTTAAAGAGACTCGTCCTTTTCCAATTGCATTCACAATTGAAAAGGATTCCAACTTAATCTTCTTCCGTGTGTCTGAAGACTATTTCTATTTTTATTTTCACATATGAACAGATGAACTGATGGCGTAAAAATATCTTCAGAAAAAGAAAGAAAGAAAGAAAATTGAAAGTGATAAAACTCGTTTTGTTATTACATCTCTGTGATCCCGAGTGCAAAGGTTTTACAAATCACGAATACCATAATTTCTCGTTACCTTGCCTTCAGGCGGTTGTGGCTTCAGATTCACCGCCGCAGACGAGTCCTGAAGGCTGGGTAGATTCAACTGCTGAGACAGTTGACTTTGCAGCTGCTCCTCCCTCGTCGGCTCGGCAGGAGGCTTCTCCACTTCCTGAGCAACGGAGACGGGTTACTTCATTCGACACTCGGTCCGTGAGCTATTTGATCACTTACCGGCTCCGTGACCGGGAAGTCGTACTTGAAGTTGATCTGCGTGGCAGTGATCAGGGCGGCGCCCATGAGGACGCTGAAGGTCGCGAAGCACATCGTATAGTTCTTTTCCCTTGCGTCTGGGCCGCACGGATGCTCGGAGAACGCGGTGCTATGATCCAGAGCGATACCGACGAAGAACATGGCCAGGCCCCAACCTAAGCTACCGAACATTCGCTGATGACCGTACCTGTGCCAAAAACAGAAGTTCGAGATGCAAAGAAACAGTCCCAGGCTGGACGTTAACAGGGAACTTTACTTGTCCGCGTCCTCGCCTAGTAAAGTAATGACAGCCGAGTCCGCCAGAGTGATCGCCGGCGCCGAGAAGAACTCGCCGACAATCACCAGCAGCAACAAGAGGAAGAAGGTTTTCTGGATATCCTGAAAACAGCAATTTCTTGTAAACGCTAGTGTACAGCATAGAATTCAAAGAAAATCGTGGGAGAAGAACATGATGCAATAAGGTAAACTCGTTCGAGTTGTCTGATTCTACAATCAGAATCAAATTTATTATTCATTATGAGGCATTTTTCAGTTTTTGATATATCAGATTTAGAATGAAAGAAAGTTTCCGACAATTACAAGCAAAAGTATTGAAATAGTGTGAAATTTTATAGGAAAAAGATATAATTATTGAAACAAAGAAATATTCTAGAAAATTTTAAGTTTCCACAATATTCCAGTGAATATCTTGAGCTGTTTTAAAGAATATCAAAAGACGCATTTTTAGTCAAATAAAGTGATCATTTTGACAATGTACTGAATCTTAAAGCTACCTCCCTGTAAAAAAGAAACGATATTTAACCTTATCGTGTCCCTCTCCCGTAGCCTTCAAATACAAAAGCGATCTGTACCGGTAATCTATAGACAATCGAGCTGTAGAGGGGTTTTACCCAACCCTTATTCTCCTGTTCGTTGTAATTCGCAGCATAGGCGACGCTATGAGGACTCTTGCCGGAATGAGGTACTCTGATATAGCGTTTCCTCCTAACTAACGGCACCTCGACATCTTCCTCGTCATCTTGGTCCTCACTTTCGTTCACCTCTTCCTCCTCCTCTTCGTCTAACAATGATATCGCCCGTAAAATCTTCATGGTAGTCCATTGTCGCCGAAACTTGGATAGCTGCTCGTTCTCATTTGTAGTTTCGTCGTTGATATCACGTTTCACCATAACTTTCGTTGGCGGCGGTTTCACCCTGGTTTTGGTGTGCGTGTACGCCTTCTTCGGTGGTCTTCCATCGTCCAACGGTTGATTCTGGAATTAATTGACACTCGACTCGAGTCTCCTCGTGAAAGCTGAACTAAATAGTTAGTTAATAACGAATAACGAAATAATTTACATTCAGTAATTAGGAAATTTGCAATTGAAAAATGATCGTACAGCGTGAGAATAAATGAAATCTTTCCTTTAATTTTACAAAACTCACATTGAGAAAACGCTTGTACTCGAGCACGTCGGCTGGACGGTTTTTCCTTTGCAGGGTTTCAAAGTCGATAGTTTTAGCTTCGGGATCGTTCTCCTCGAACACCAACTGTTTGTACTTGAGATCTTCAACGGGGCTGTCCTCCGTCGTGGTCGTCTCCACTTGCGCCTCTCTTCGGACTCTGTTGTTGTCGTAATTCTGTCGTATGTTGTTCAACCTGCCCCTGTTGTTTTGCAAACTGAGAGCCGCCAGTGGATCCAGCTTGCTGTCCTTGCGCAGCCTCTCGAAAACAACGTTGTCCGCGATCTCTAAACATTCTTCGTCGTTCTGATGATAAAAATCGTCGAGAGTGGCGGACCGTTTGACTATCCTCGTTTTAGGATTCGGCGCTTCCAAGTACGCCGTGCCGTTTCGTATGACCAGGCACGACGTGGCCGGTGGTTGCATGAAGGCTAGAGGAAGAGTGAAGATGATCCAGCAAGAGAGCGAGGCGAGAAAGATCATCTTGCCCTTCTGCCACCTGCGAAACGGAGCAATCGTTCTCTAGATAAATTTTCGGGATTGTGCGGTTCGCCTTGATTGAATCGTCGGTCCTTTCTACCCTCACGAGGAGAAACGGATAAATCGATAATCGGGTTGAAGCTTTCCCAGCCTTGCTAACCCACGCAATATTGGATTCTGGATAATATCCGCCAACATTGACCAAGCAAGTAAAACTGTTTACACGTATATACATGTTACGATTAAAAGAACAAGCAAAAAATGAAAAAAAAAAAGAAAAAAGAAGCAGAATGGAACATGGAATAATCGTTTCGGACAATCCTCGACATTGACTCACGCTCGCTTTAACATCGGTAGATTCAGTCTCTCACCTGTCAGCCAACGAACCCCAGAATGGCGCGCTGAGGAACTCGATGAAAGGTCTCAGGCCCATCAAAAGACCGCACTGGCCGGCATTCATGCCCATCTGCTTAAAGTAGACACCCATCAGGGGGAAGAGAGAGCCAAAGGCCGAGTAGAAGAAGAAGTAGAAGCTTTTCACGGTGAGCATTTCCTGATCGACAGAACCGAACAGGTACTCGAGCACGTCGCTCTTGCCGCGGATCTTGTGCGTCGCCTCCTTCGGCTGAGGATACAAGTTAGGATCGACCTCTCCTTGGGCTTGGGGGTCGACCATGGGCCTAACGCCTGGCACCTGCGGCAACGTTCTGCCAGTACCTTGCGATCCATCATCGGCGGCCCCATAATCGTAGTCTTCGTGTCCATAGTTCTGCATGACTGGAGCCGAGGACTGGCTTCTCTATCCTCAGACTCTTCGCTCTTCGCCCTCGCCCGATGACACACGTCGGATCGAATCGAATCGAATCGACGGGGAATCGACGATCAGCACGGAGTATCCACGGTCCGGGGAACTTGTGTGTCCGACCGATCCTCGGGGCTTCGGGGCCCCACCTTGGACGATCTGCCGATCTGCTCCTCGAGGCGAGAGATTCTCCTTCGTCGAGTGTCGTCTGTCGTCTTTCGGAGATCACCAGCGACAATCCTTTTAGACGTACGTCCAATCGATGACCAACCGTGTGATGGCACCTTTCCGCTCGCGAAATCGATAGTCCTGACAGTGCGCCCGCGCAACATGCACCCTCTTGCGCACCCTACCGACTCCGCCGGTACGGACACGCCGCTCTAGCGATGGCCGCTTGGTTTATTCGTTCCACGCGATTCAGATTTCAAACAAGTGGTTCGAGTTCCTTTGGAGCACGATCGTTTGCAAATTGGGGACTTTTGGCCAGTGAGGGTGATCGGTAGCAGCTGAAGTAAGAAAGCAGATTTTACAGAATTGTGTAATTAAACGATGGAAGACTAGACTGGGAGAGTTTATTGAGAATTCTAAATTGTTTTCAGTGTCTTTGAAACTCGAACAGTTGGAAATTTTTTTCTGAACGAAGGATATTGTTTACAGTAGATTAAGTAGAAAGAGCGTGCAGATTTTACAAAATTATGTAATTGCGCGACAGAAGGATTCTTTTCTTGGAGGAAAACAATTTTTCAAAAATTTATAAATCGCTGTTTGAAATCCCATACGTTACAATTCGAGATCTTTGATAGAGAGATTTAATTTCACGAGACGATAGACTCTTCAGACTTTTCAGAAGAAGAGAATATTTAGAAAAAAAAGATGTTGCGAGTTGCTTTACACTTTTTGAAAATTCCATATTAGACAAAATTGTAATCCAATTGAAGTTGGACGTATCTCGAATCCCTCGCTAAAGGTTCACGCCAGTTTCCAACCCTTGATTTTTCCGACTCTCTCCTTTCGATTCTCGCGCAGTTGCTGTCACATCGGACATCCGGTTTTCAAATCGTTACCCCGATACAATTAATGATTTTTTTTTTTTTGTATTTTCTCTTTACTCGTATCTTATCAACTTTGTTTCTCCTTCCTTCATTCTTCTCTTCTGCTTTATTAGATATCGATTGACCCATTAATTGATCGAAGAACGTAATCGAAACGAACCTTCGAAAAAAGAAAAGGAGAGAAAAATTTATCTTTCAATCGGTAGCTATATAGAGGGTTATCAGCCGATCGTCAAGCGTGAAAAAGTTTCTCGGTGGCCTGCCACCAGACGCGCGTGTTTAAGGAAACCCGCTTTGTGCTGGCGACCACTATGCGTTGAATGTCGAAGACCTTGACCCGAACTTACGTTCCTTCTTTTATCTCGGCAATTCCGGCCGTTTCGCTCGATTGTTCTTGCGTCGTGGGCGACACAAGGGGGTTGCAAGTTTGTCACTGCGACCTGCTTCTTTGTTAACGTGCGACTTTTGATACCTTCTGTCATCTTCAATTGTACTTGCATGGCACAATCGAGTACTTTAATACCTGTACGAGGCCTTTTACGTGTTGCAGGGAATATTTCTTGAACTTGAATTAGTATTGTAACAATGTCAAAATATTACGATTACATTGGAAAATTTGAAAATACTCGAGGCAACGAAGGTTGAGGAAGGTTTAATCGAAATCTTATAGTTGCACTTCTCTTTCGTCTCTTTTGAATAATGCATTTTTTTATACGATTCTTATGTTTTTACGTATTACAATAAATAATAGATTGTACGATAGATAATGATGTAGTACAATACAGTATAGTACAATAAATAACAGATTGTTTTCGTTTTTTGAATGAGAGAGATGCAAAGAAGAACACTCTAGCTAAGATGTTTCAGTGAAGAGAACCTTTCGACGTTTCTATTGCTTTCTTGCCAAGAACCGAATTTATTCAACTAACACTTTATTATTTGGTGGAAATTCATACGAACTTTTTGAATAATTAAATATTCACGTTGCGTAGATCCTATATATATTCAAATTTTAGCAATGTAATCGCGATAATTGCATTTCCATTCGTTCTAACGAAATCCCAAAGTGTTTTATACGAAACGTATAATAATATTCGTAAAATGAACGATGTATGATAACGAAACAGCACAATGGTAACCCCGGGAGAGAATTTACATTAAGGCCGTTCACACCGAAGTAAATTTCCATTTCGATTTAAAACTTCGCAGAAAGAAAGGGTCACTATTCTCTGTGACGCAGTGAGTGTTTTCCACGCTGCACACGGTTAGAGAGTGACGCATCTGATATCGTGCAGCGCACGATACACGTGCGTGATTGTAGAATTTTCTCTCTTCTGGCGATAAAACCAAGGCCTGGCGTCCAGCAAGTTCACCGATGTAAAGAAAAGAAACAAATTCCTCGCAAAGAGATTGCTCTCAAATAGAAGTTGCGCCTAAAGTAGAAGGTTCGAATTCGACGAGAGTGGAATGCCAATTGGAAAATTTATCGATACGATTGCTTTTCTGAGAGTGCGAGTTCAGATTCACCGGGATAAAAGAAAAATAGAAAAGATCCACGCTCGTTCGCGTGATCAGTCGTTATCATCTTTGGCTGCGACTTGAGAAAATAAAAGCCTCCTGGTCCTCTACCTCTGAAGATCAACCGGCTGACGCAAAACCGCTTGGCCTTGTTTCAAAGTTCAAGCGTTGGAAAGCTCTCCACCGGCTAGCGAGCACACGCGCTAGCTTCACCTAGACACGGCTCGTGATCGGCCTGTGTTATTACATTACTTTGACGACGACGATGCGGAGTTGAGGACGAAGCCAAATGCGAATGAAGCTGATCATCGTTCGAACGGAAGTCGCGCGGGGAAAACACGCGCAAATATCGATAAACCGCCTGATATCGGCGAACTCGACGATCGTAAGAAATAAATGCACGTACAGTCAACGAGAGTTAAAGTATAAGATAGAAAATAAATATATTTTATGATACACACATGATGCAAATACGAAGATTATGACGAGTAATGATAACTTAAATTAAACTACGAGCTATGTACAAAGTGCCGTCTCTCATTTTTCTTCTTCTTCTTCTTCTTCTTCTTCTTCCCCCTCTGATCCCCTCTCTCCCCCGTTCATTGGTTCAATGTCATGAAAATCGCTGTCTAATTTCTACTGTTGAATATGTCTTTCGGTATGGGATCCATATGGGACTCGGCTTGGAACATCGACGAAGCGGACGTCGAGGATGGCGCCGGTTTCGGAGGACCTTGGAACATGCAGGTCTTGGCTGTCTTCAACAGGCGACCGTTGCTCGCTGTTCGCCAGTAAACCGTGCGAACTGCTTGCTTGCCGGCAACGTAGCTCACAGCACCACCGATCAGCATCTGCAAGTAAAATGGAGGATTAATTAATTAATTTCGACGAGGAGTCCCGACAATCCGGGGAAGAGGTGAGGACTCGGATATTCAACAGACACGAAAAAGTATTTCAATTTGTTTGTAATTTGAATTGGAAAAATTGAAATTTTGTTGGGGAAAAGAAAGTATAAAATAACCGAGGTAATCTCGAGTAAAATAATCGTGAATAATTTAGCAACGTTGTGTATACTATGAGCGAAGAACGAGAATCGAGACAAGGTTTTGATGCAAATACCAAGAAAGAGTAGAAAAATACCTCACCTTTGTTGTCTTGCTAAGTCGATTTACCGTAGACCAGACAGAACTGTAAAGTTCTATGTTGTGGCTGGTGGAAGGTTGAATTTACAAGTAGAGAACTTGTCGGCGTTTAAGTTCCTCTACCTTGTCCGAGGAGGGAAGCTCGACTGGCGGACCGATCTTCACCAGTGGTAATTTATACGATAACGTCTACGTCACGGGGTCTCGCGATAAGAGGAAGCTCACGTCATTCATCGTAATCACCGAATCCCGCCGAGAGGATGGGCGACGAGTGAGACGTAAAATTTCTTTTCTTTTTTTTTTAGATAAGAGATTTAGATAAACTCGCGTCAACGATGCCTCACCGGGGCCGGTATAAACAATTGGCAATTAAAACGGAACAATGTCTGCATAAACCGCGTTAATGCGGTCATGCATCATTATCACCAGTGTTGGTAAATAAGATCGACGTTTGCGTCGTTACTTTCGAGCAATCTTCTTCCTCCTTTCCTCGAATTCTTCTTTCCGGCAAATTACATTAACTGCACGTTGCGTAAAAATGCAGAGAGAGTTAGTTAGTAAATAAGGTGAAGGTAAATGGTGAACAATACGAGGCGATGTTTGATAAAATGAAAATCATGCTCCGGGTCATTAAACAATTTTTCCCCCGATCGGCTCGGCCGTACACATGGAAAATTATGCGTGACGCATAATCAGCACGTATCGTTGAAAAAATAACTCCCCTGATAGAGGCGAGATAACATTTTGCATATCGCCGATGTACTTTGTTTCTGACGGCAATTGATATACATATGATATTATTTACGCATCGTGCACATCATAGTAATACGCAACATATTCTTCCTGGTTTTAACGAGGATCTCGTCCGTCATTGTGCTCGCGCGTGAAAATCACTTGCAAAAAGAAAGAGAAGCGTGTTTCCGCGATAAATATACCTACCAGGTATGCCAGATCGAGAATAAATCGTAATCATTATGTAAATTCAAAGTCTAAAATAGTTGTGCCAGACCAGAATTCCGCTCTTGCGAAAGAAACTTTTCAACTTCATTATCTAGCACGCGTTCTAATAACTCCAATTATTATTATTATTATTATTACGAGTTCAAAGTCTGCAATACGTTCCATTTCATAAACTATAATATTTCTGTACGAAATATGAATAATTCGAAAATACCTTATGCTCTGTTATCTCACGGCTCTGCGCTATTCACGTTCTATTCTAATCGTAACAATTACCCAATGGCCAAGATTAACACGAAAATGTCACGCGACTACACATATCGATCACATGATCGTGATGCGAAGCTATCTCTCCAAGTCGAACAATTAGACTCAAGGAATTTATTTTTATCCTTATCCGCGATTACAATTCGCAGCCTTATCTCGATAATGTCCATTCGAATGTCGAGTGCATTTTTATCGGTTATAATGTTGACACATCCTATCGAAGAACTAATCCATTGTATTACCATTGCTACTCATTGGAATCGTCGTCTATTGTTTCTTCTTCTTTTTTTCTGAAATTGCGGCGAATGTCATCCACGCTGATTAAAAAATAATTTTGTTTATCCTCCGACTGACGAGTTAATCTGTCCCAAGTATAAAAATTTCAGCTGGTCGGCTCGTGCTCACGAGAGAGTACAACTATACAAACATCAACTCCGCCGACGAATTTCTTTTTATCTGAACTGTTAACAAACAAACAATATTTTTCGGTATTTAGAATTTACGGCTGTTTCAGTTTTTCCACGAAGCTGAGAAATTCGAGGAACGAACACGACTTGAAGAAGACAATAGGATTAAACCCAAGGGTAAAAACGTGGAGTATTCTTCAATATTATATGAACGACAATGCGAATTCCTTTCTTCTCTCTCCACATATTAATACGTTATACGCATTTCAGAGATACTTGCGAAGTGGACCCACGTGTCTTAAAACGTGGATACATACTTGCTGGAAATAAAATATTCAAAAACGTCCACTCAGGTCTTGATATAATGCAATGTATCTCAGCCATTTTTTTAATCACAACCTCGTTTTATAATAACCACGTAATCTACGACCTCCTACTCTTTCGTTTTAAAAAAGGCATTTTTCTCAAAATGTTCATACGATAAATACGCAAAAAGTAACGCAGAAAAAAAAACGAGTATTTCAAGATATAATTCTAATCCGATATTTATTAATTATCTCGACACAATATAGTATTTATTTAACCTGTTAAACCGAGTTATCAGAAATTTAATCAGAAGTGTCTACAATCGTGAAATTGAATGTCACTGAAGATGATTCAATTTCAAAGTTTAATTTTTTTCAAAATGCAAGTTCCAACTTGCCAACTCTTGGCAAAAAGAATTGTACTTAGAAAATTGGGAATGGGGTGACGAATTGACTCAATTTCAGAGATGACAAAACTTATTCAAGAATTGCATTTAAAAAATTTGGAATGGGCGACGAGTTCGATTTTATCTTTTCCAAATATAAACATAACTTATTCTCAGTAGAAGTAAAAATATATATATAATATATATTTAAAAAATTTGAAATGGGCGACGAGTTCGATTTTATCTTTTCCAAATATAAACATAACTTATTCTCAGTAGAAGTAAAAAAAATATATATATATATATATATGTATAAAATCCATAAATAATAAAATACCTAACACATCTAAGAAATTGGGAGTAACTGACTCATCTGACTCATCTTAACGAGCAACTCATCTTTTCCGAATAATTAACATTTCACGAAGATTGGAAAAACCAAGCGCATCTCTACATTTCCTAGAAAGTCCCGTCGAAAAGAATTTCGATGGAAAATTTTCCCCCAGGGAGGGGGGAGAAGGAAAGGAAAGATGCGTGCAACGCGCGCAAAAACGCATGGATACATGCGATCATTCACAAGAAACAGAGACGTCGTTACGATTCACGTGAAACTTCCGTGGCGTCGCAGAGGGAAGCGGAGAGGAGACGGCGTGATCGCGATATACGATCGTCGACTCCGATAAGAGCGGTTCGTGTCTTCTCCTATCTGTCTGCAATTTCCATTAATGAGCGAGCAAGTGAGCTTTCTTCGCCTCGCGTGCTTCGTTCGTTCGCCGTGGCATCCTCAAGGTTGAACGAAGATAGAGTAACGGAGAACGAGGAAAGCGAGTAATTGCGTTGGAGGACAGTAACGTGTATGCGTGATTGATAAAGTTCTCGAGTGGAGCGTATCTTCGCTGGGGAGCATTGGTCCTGTTCAATTATCAATCGCTATCGGCGTGATGTCACCAACACGAGCCTCTTGATCCAAATTTGAGCAATCCCCCTCTCCAAGTGAATGAATTGTGAAACAAGGTTCAAGAAGTTCTGAACGACTATGGATTTTTGTACAATAATGGCAATTTTCCGTGTGGAAAGAAGCACAATTTCAAGAAGTTCTGAACGACTGTGGATTTTTGTACAATAATGGCAATTTTCCGTGTGGAAAGAAGCACAATTTCATCTGTGAAATTCTTTTTCTGGATCTGTTATATTTATATTTTACTTGCTTTATATAACATGCACGAGTATTCGTTGTAATATTTACTATACAAATTATAATTAACAAATCCTTTTCATATAGTTTCTAATATATTTTCTAATATAATCTATATACGTAATCTGTAAATTTTATTGGGTAAAACATCTGCTTATTATTTTAATACTGTGTCTATAAAAATATAAACTTATGTCCATAATATATGAATGACTTGGATCACGTAAAGAAGAAATATAACGAAATGATGAAAAAATGAAAAAAAATATAATAAAATGAACGATAAAAACAACGAAATATAATAAAATGACGAAATACAGTAAAACATAACGATGAAAGTAAATAAAGTTAACTGATTAAAAATAAACGAATTATTCATCAGGCTCGATGTATTTGAACAAAGGAACATTTCCGCGATAACGAATGAAGGGAAAATTACTTTATTGTCAAGCTTTCGAATCGATACAATTTCATTTATAATGCCATATATATCTGCATGATCCCAGGATTTCCCCCAGTTCGTATTCCTAGAATATCTTTCAACGAGTTCTCGGTAACAAAAGATAGGTGACCGATTATATCCAGAACAAAGCAGATGATTCTGATAAATGTGAGGAATTACCAATCGTTTGATATCACTTATCAGGAGCATGGTGTTACGTGAACCGAACGAAGCTTAATTTTATTACATTGGTTTTGGCAGCTCAAGGCACTTTCTGCGAGCTTGGCTGGAAAGAAACATAATACATACTTCTTATCGAACAACAGTAGATATACACGCGCCAAGTAAGAATAAATATTACACGATTGCTCTTGGGTTGTATCAATGGTGCCAGCTAGTCTACCGTTGTCTGCTTATCTTCCTATGATTCTCCCTTCTCGCGTGCAATCGCGTAATTTTTTCCTCTCCTTTCGATGTATAACAACAAACAAAAAGCTGTCTCAATCGTACACGTAGCAAATATTGAAATTCGTTTTTTTTTTTTTTTTTTGGATGAGGTTTGCTTTTCATTTTAAAATCGAAGATAGAATTCGATCTACGCGTACGAGTATACTGTAGCCCTGTGAAAAAATATTCGATGAGTTATACGAAGCATTTTGAAATTTAATAGATAGATATATATAATAGATAAATCTGAAAGTGCATATGTACGTGTAAGTATATAGGTATTTCTTAGAGATCACAAGTAATTACACGCTTAAGATTATGCTCTGCGCATCGATATTTATACCGCATAATTTTTTACTATATAAATTTAATTAATCTCTAATATACCAATTTTCAAATTGATCGATATAATCGTGACAGTCGGAATTCCAAAATATTTTATGTAACACACACAATCACACAGTCTGTGAGCCTAAATTCTTCACCTGATTCTAAATTCTTCCAGTGATTGAAAGGAAAAAAGAGGTTTCGAGTTAATGGGCTTATCAATTCAATAATCATCTCTCGATTTCTCTGTAACCATCGATCAGAGCAATCATGTTCTCGCGAGCTTCTTCGAAGCAATCTTCCTCCATGCCTTCGCCTACGTAATGGTGAACGAAAGCTCTTTTCTGATACATCAAGTCGAAATTCCGGGCAAGCAGCGACCATCTCTGTTTGATGGCGGTATTATTGCTAGCCATCACCACTGTCCTCCTCGATTTTGCCAAATCACCCCCAGGAACTGTTGTAGTGGGCTGATAGTTAATTCCCACCTATAATATAAAATTAATCATTCGAATTTCTGAATGAACGTGAGTAGCGACGAGTGTATCGGCAGGATGATTACAACAGCAAAAAGTAACGATACAATTATTTGCATATGTTCGACTAATGCATGAGACTTATCTACGAAATCGATTTACTATGCACATTTAGTGATCTATGATACAAATTTTCTAGATGTTTTACGTTTTCTATAGGAATAATTGTTTAATTTCACATTTGTTTATTAATTTAGTTCACAACTTCTTCAATTATTTATCCGTTTTCATTCAAAAATGTACTAGCGACAGCTGAATGCTTAATTGTTAATATTATACAACTAACTCTGTTGAAAATTCATAATAAAAAATCTAATGATGCAAAACGGTGGCGACGCTAGCAGCTGAAAATCACGTGATGCCTCAGTGACACAACACTGTTTCTTAGTAAAATGAATCAACAACCGCATTTATTGACGTAAAACCAAACTCCCACACTCGCAATTTCTCTCAAGTTGTTTGATGCAGATAGTTCGATAAATCTAAGCAATAGAGTTAAATATCCGTTCTGGAATCATAGAATTTTGTCCTTGTTTGCACGAAAGATGATGCAAATCGTTTTTTTCCATTCCACGAGACTAGCCGAGTACACAAAAATCGGCGTTATCGATTTACGGTTCAACGTACTGGCCGATTTTTCTCGCAATCGGACGTCAATACTGTGCATAAACAAAGTGTCAGAAAACCGCCATGTCATTTAACAACGTTCCACGTCCTTGTTGACGATAAAATATTTGTTTGTTAGAAAATGAAAACAAAAAGAAACTGGAAAAAAGTCAAAGAAGTACCTTGAACCCGGTCGGACTCCAAGTGACGAAACGGATCGACTTCGTCCCCTTCAGCGACGCGATCGTTTTATTGACGTCATTTGGACTCACATCTCCGCGATAGAGCAAACAACAGCTCGTGTAAGCTCCTGTCCGTGGGTCGTACGTTACCATCTGAAATTCATGAAAAAAAAACTTCAGGCTCGAGCGTGACCGCAGTGCATAAATTGAGAGAAAGATAACACTTATTTTGCACACTGTTGGCATAAATGAAATCATGGACTTTAATGATAAAAATAAGAAAACTTATTAAAAACCGAAACAATAATTTTAATCATAACGTTATAAATTTCTTAAAATTTGGAAAATTAAAGAAACGATAGAATCTCGGCAGAAGACACAACGATGTAAAAATATTAAGCGAACCTTTGAAATTTCTTTAATTTCGTTAAGTGTTAAAAAAATCGATTAAAATGAATAACCAAGATTCTCGATGATGGTTTTTTTTTTTTTTAAGAAACAACCAGGGAAAATTTCGTAAATTCTTTACTTTACCTGATTAGCAGGTGCGAAACAATCGTACGTGATCTGCCGGGTAGTAATTTCGGAATGCATGGCTTTTCTGGGACAGATCAATGGAGCGTACGTAACCAGAGAGAAGTGAATTCTAGGATACGGCACCAGGTTTGTTTGCAGTTGTTCGAGAGTGAGATTCACAGCACCCTCGAACCTCATCGAAGCCGTGATGCTCGAGACAACTTGAGCGATCAGGCGATTTAAGTTGGTGTAAGTTGGAGAGTCTACATTCAAATTCCTAAAAGAAAACAGGGAAAAAATAGACGAACGGAACACGTTTGATTTAACATTCGTTGCTGCGATGTTTCAATTATTCCAAAGATGAATTAAAAACCTGGCACAAATGTTATATAAAGCTTCGTTGTCAACGAGGAAGCAACAGTTCACGTGATCCAGTGTACCATGGGTAGTAAAGACTGCATTGTAAGGTTCGACGATGACGGTGGCAATGTTAGGTGATGGGAAAACAACAAAGTCCAGAGTGATTTGCTTGGGATAATCTCGTGATAGTTGTTCAAGTAACAATGTGGCGAAACCACTTCCTGTACCACCGTTCAATGATCTATAACGAAGTTGAGTTTTCATCAAGTTAACAAACAATTTAACAAGTAATAAATTTCTTATCGCGATGAGTCTTCGAATTTTTATAAAAAATTTTTACTCTCGGTTAAAATTTGATTTAAAATACCTGAATACGATAAATCCCGCTGGTTTCGAGCATGTTTCCCATATTTTACACACACGATCTAGGACAATACCAATCGCCTCACCACCGATAGAATAATATCCCCTAGCAAAATTATTCGACGCATCTTCTTTGCCACTGATCAATGAATTTGGGTTGAAGAGATTCTTATAAACACCAGTTCTGATCTCGTCGATCACCGTGGGTTCTAGATCGATGATCAACGTACGTGGAGTCAGCTTTCTTACCTAAAAATGAATTTCCATGCAGGAAGAGTTTTTGAAAACTCGTCAGGATAATATTTGTTGAAACTTGATAATAAATCAATTGTAATTTACAAAAAAAAAAAGTTGGAAATAATAAAATTGCGTCGAAAGCTCCAGACCCTAGGAAATTGAATTTAAACATTTATCAAGTGAATTTTAACTTGGCTAATTTTCAATTAGGTAACAATTGAAAATGAATCGAAAATGTAAAATAAAATCTTGCATCGAATATCACAGTAAAAAATCCATTATGTACATACATTTTTGTTAATTATCTGATTTTCATGTTACTTTATGGAGGATTGATAACGTGACATAGTTAAACATAAGATTTTCATTTTCATCTTATTAGACAAATTATAAGAAATTTATAAATTGACAATACTTTGTATAAAATCGAAGGTATGGTTATTAAAACCGAGAAATATTTGTGTATTTTTAAATATTTTTATATTGTATAAGTAAGATATATCACAAAATAAAAATATAAACTATTACAGAGTACATTATAAAATAAAAGATTATAAAGAATTCTATATACACAGTGTGTATAAATTTCAAAGATCGTTTATTTTCTCACTTTTGTCTCTGAAAAGAAAGAACACAGAGAAAGATCCCTTGGACAATAGCCCTGACGGAGATAGCCATCGGGAGATACACCATGTTCCAGACAAAATAATTCCCAGCAAGCATTTGCTATTTGCACGCCAGCCTGTCCTATGAAAATTGTTATTATTTCACTTGATTCTTCCATCGCTTAACCATATTCCAATTTATGAACGTTCGATGAATTTCCATTTCTGACGAATAAACAGTGAACAGTTCAGATGTAAAATCATACCAAAGATTTTGATCATTATTGTACATTTTTTTCTTTTGCTTTTTAACGAAACATGTTTTATTTGTATATTTGTCAAAGTGACAAGTTCAAAAGATATTGAACCTATTCATTTATCGAGGAGAATGTCAAATTTTTCGTTATGTTAATGATAATGCGAAAATTGACGTTTATCGAAGAACGTTTAAACGGAATGATAAATCGAAGAACGTTGTTCTGCAGATGTTTATTGCGCAACATTATATAAAGAATAACAAAGTTTTCTAGTTTTGACAGCAATTTTTAAAACTGTGCATTTGCAATGGTATTGTATATTAACAATGATTAGGTACACATTTACAACAATTTTGTACAATTCCACGGAAGAATATTCATTACTGTATTAGTTATCTCTGCCTACGAACATTCAACTGGCAGTACTTTAACCGATAAATTAACTGCTTTATTGTTCGCATAGGCGCATGGTCTTGTAAATTCCATTCGTGAATGAAATATACGTTTTTGCTAAATCATTTCTATAGCTGATATGTATTTTGATCCCTCAAATGCAAGAACATCAAACGAACGAGAATAAGTACCAACATATTTTAAATTTAGGTATGCTACAATTCTCCTTGTGTTATAAAACATTAATTGTCGTATACTTGAACTTTATCCTGCGGTAAGAAACTGAATACTGCAGTAATTTGTCAAGTTGGTTTTTGTACTATTACAGATCTGATTTAATTCTATATATCATATTATTTTTATCCTATTTAGCAAAAGATTTTAATAATCTTAATAGAATCACAACATCTTATGTTGACGTGAAATCAAAAAGAGGCATCTCAAGAGGAGTTAATGGTGGTAGAGGCGCAAGTCTTAAGGAATGTGTATCTAATCTAGAGTCATCATTAAGATTAACAGCATGGAGCTGTTCGGTTAATTGTCTCACTTCCTCTTCCTTTGCCTCTAACTGGCTTAGCAAGCTTCCAACTAAGCAACGCAACTGACAATTAACAGTTTTCAGTTCCTCTATAACAGTGACTGCATCCTTTGGATGTTTAAAAGCTTTGTCTTCGTTGTTAGGCATTGAGATCAGAGTTAGAAGACTATCTTGCTCTTCAATTGTTTTATATATGGCTTGCCGTAAGGATACATCAAACTTATCACTTATAAGCTCAGATGCATCCTTTTCAACCAGTTTCGGTGTTTGTTTACTAAGGATTTCTCTCTGTTGATTTTCCAATGTAGCTTTATATTCTTCATATTCCGCTTGTTTCATTCTGAAAAGTAAACTTTTATCAATAATTTAACAAGTATCATATAAATATATTTTGTACAGTACAGCAACAAAATATTACCAGTGTACTTACCTAACTACAGCAGCTTGTCTTTTATGATAATCCCGTTGAAGGGCTAGAGATTCTAAAGTAATGAGTGAATGAATGGAAGAAATAACAACTGGTGGAGTCTGACTAGATAAACCAGGTGTCTTCAGATGAACATATTTAGATTCAAGTTGTGCATGTGCTTCTGATAAAAGACAGGCTACTATTTCATGACACTTGGCTGCCTCTTCAAAACGGCCCTCTTCTAACAATGCCTCTGCTCTTCTTTGTCTTTCGTGCGCCTTTTGTAGAAAAAATTATATCAGTATTTATATAATGCACTATTCTAGAAAATTATAAACACCAGTACCAAGAAAAAAAATAAAATGACCAAAAATTAACATATGACATTTAACAACTCAATGTCAATACGACGTAGCTTGCGTACGTTTTTGTGACTGGCTTATGCAAACGATTATTGCAGATAGCGACGGACACTTGGGTAGTTCACAAATTATGTACACATGTTGATGTTTTTTGGTCACACATAATGATACGACGTCCAAGAAAACACGATGATACTTACCGCGTTTAGTACTGAAGTCTCCATGGTTGATTAACTCATCGAATACAACAAAAACAGAAGGGCAACATGATAGTTATTTTCGGTTACGGCAGATAACGACATACTTATCAATTGAGCATAAAGATCATCCACCACTGCCACCACCACCACAGATGAACTGTAATCCCGAGCAGATTGAACGAAAACCGAAAACTCATTAAATGTTAAGTTTATTCAGCGATATCTTGTCTGTGGTTTGTTCTATTCTTAATTTTGATAATGCTCTTATGCATTTATAGCATTTCCAGACGATAGACGTAGAATTTGTATGTAATTATAATATAGTGCATGCCTTAGAATATTGTATTTGCATAAAAAGACATAACGTTAAACCTCAAATTAAACACACAGATGTTTAAAGCGTCTCTGGAATTAAATAAATATTAAAATATTAACACAAATAATAAACTTCAATATTACCGACTGATGGTAACAGTAATTTCATGTTTTATATGGTTTCCTGTTAAAAGATGACACTGCGGTATAAGTGATGTGAAATGGATGCAAAACGTATGTGTTAAAAGTTTAAACTTAATCCAACAATAAGCTTCATATGCAGTAACGTACGTACAAAAAAAACTTTACATTAATTCCTTCATTAAATTTTGATCATGTAATTAATATTGGAAAGTATTAATCAGGCGAAATACAACATTTATCAAGGTAAAAGTCAAAAGTGAACGTTATACATTTGTTAAAACGGTTATGTATGTCGTCAATCAATGGCTGACCAAAATTTCAAGTACGAATAAATGTGTCAAGCAGGTAACAAGTTATCATTTATTAGTAATAACGTAATAATCCTTGACAAATTGTATATGCGTACATTGAGAAAACATCATTCAATTCTAAAACGGCTTTGCAATCATAGAGTCCTAGTCACACAAGAGTCGAAAAGGAATTGAGCGTAGGCGTGAACCCGATGCCTTTATAGGAATACGAGGATCAACGTGGAAACTTAATTATTCGAACTATCAGCCTATCTATGTATGTGGTTTCGCCGAGTGTTTCATCTATTAGAAAATAACGTTGACCTCATCTCTTCCGACGGAACTTGAAAAATTTCTCGGCTTCTTTTAAGGTTCGTCGGTCTCGCAATCAATTCAAAATATGATCAACATGGTCGTCAATCTCGACGTTGAGTCGATTAATATTATTGGTTTTGTCGTAGGTATTGCTGTGTACAAAAAAATTAGGAAGAAAAAACATAAAAAAAAAAAGAGAACTAGGGTAATTCGTATCATTTAAATTCGAGTAGGTGTAACCTTACAAAACTGACAGTACTTAATCTTCGTCGAATCATTGGAAACGTATCGTGAACTCGCGACGTTCAATCGATTAACATAAATTATCATCGCGAGAACGCGAGCAGATTTACCATGCAAATAAACGATCGCATTATCTGTTAAACGAGAACGCCGTGTACGGCGATAGAAAGCCAGTGTGTTTTTACGGTCCACTGGCTCAAAGTAAGATCCTCCCGTCTGTTTCCTTACGACATCAAGCAAATTAGCGCCCGATTAGTGAGCGAACCCCTTGGGAGCTGAAAAAAATTCTCACGGTCTTCACGGTGTATCAAGAAGAGTTGGTGAGAAAGTAAAGAAAGAAACGTTCAAGGTACGCTATAAGATGTACGTAAAAAAAAAGAGAGAGAGAGGAGGGGGAGGGGGAAGACTGTTAACGAAAAATCGACGAAAAGAGAGAGAGAGAGAGAAAAAAAAGAACGAAAATACGGTGTCCGCATAGTCTGCGGACTAATCACTGCGTACGTATCAGTGCGCATGCGTCGTTCAGCGAGAAACGCTAGCAATTGATGGCGTGCGCGCTTTTCGGAATCTCCTGCAAACACTGTCGTTTCCATTTCGTCGAAAGCTCGATTATTACGCAACACTGTACGGAGAATAGAAGGTACACAGGCAAACATATATATGCATGCATATACACGCGGAGAAACACAGAGAATACGTGTGGCGTCGATGTTACGCAACCGTATAATCCTAGATTACGGCAATTACATTTTTGCCCGCAGTGCACTTCCATCCGAATCATATATGGAGGCGCTACCCTATCGGATAGCCATCGGGCGCGAGCGATCTGGCATGCGCGGCCGTTCTCGTGAATGGGCACGGCTCGTGGACCAAGCGGCGGCCGTATGAATGAAATAGTAAATATAATTGACAGAAGGGCAGGCGTGGGCAGGCCAGTCAGAACAGGCAAGCAGAAACAGGCGGAACGAGGTGCAAGACGGGAACGGCGCGGCGTTTTATACGCGGCAGGGGTAGGATCGAGGTCATCACCTTTCTATCATCCGAGCAGCCTAGATAGCACTTTTTCTTTTTTCACTTCTCTTCCTTTTTTTTTTTTTTTTCTTTCTTTTTCATATCTCACGTGTTTCGACATCTTTTCAGATGTATTCTCGATATTCATTTGCCCGCTGGTCATCCGGTTACCTGTTTCGATCAACCCTTCGTTGCGGTAGAACTTTTTACGGTGGTAAGAGGATTTGTTAATTTTATCTTTGGCGTGGAGGAAATTAAAATTACAAGACTCATTTGTCAACGCGAAAATAGTTTTTATAATAAGACCGAGGTAACAGTAAAACCATCCAACCGGCCGACTTTGGTCCAAGGCATGTTACACCACAGACTCGTCATAGAAGTTTCATTGATCCGTCACCGTTAGGTCGGTGAATATGTCGCAACAGCGAGCGCGGCTTTAATTAGTCGCCGTTACGGAAACGGAAGAGTCACGACAAGAGATTTGTATTTCTATTGGAGCCACAGGGATAAGTAGGAATCCCTGTCGGATCCTGGCTACGTGAAAACATTACGTGACGATGAGGACAGAGATCCGCCCTCGGCCGCGAGTACTGGCTGTTCTGGAGAACGTTGAAGGAGAGCTGCGCCAGTTCTTGGCCGGTCGGTCTGCCTTTTCTCTCTCTTTCTCTCTCTCTCTCTCTCTCTCCTCCCTTCTCCCCCGATACCCCTTTCCCGTGAAGTCGTCGAGTGACGACCAAAGACGGTAGGAAGGTACGGTTTCCGGTCGCCCACGCGACAACCTAGCCGGAGCTCTCTCGCGTCAGGCAGCGCCGTTGTGAAAATCCTCTCGATTCAGGTGTCCGGATAGCGCTCACGGAGTGGTAAACCTGGCGCAACACTCTGCACCATGGTGGGGACATGATCCGGGCAAAATAGAGAACAATTTGTAGATTTCTATTCTAGGGTTAAACTCTGTCCTTAACCCCTTCCGCGGTTCTACCGATCCTTTATCTGATAGAGACATATCGACCAATAACTTTGCATTACTTGGTATGAATTTTATACACCGACACAAAGATTGAATTTCAGAGTAATTTTTGTTTTGACGGTTATAAGATTATTGTGTCCTTTCAGTCATTTTTGACGAATAGTATTGTTTTCACTGTTGGAAAGTTTCTTACACTGGTTTGTAGATTATAAACTTTCATTCGATTTTATAATTTTGTACAAAGTAGGGCAGTTAGCCAAATTTGTAATTTGTAAAAATTCGATGATTTTCATTTGTCTCATTTACATTCAACGCTATGAGAAATCGACAACTTGTGATTTGTAATCTGTAGAATTTCATATTGTGTAACTTCTAACTTATACAAACACGATATTGATCAACGATTCTCTTAACCCATCGTGCATGTAATTCAAAAGACTAAAAAAAATCGTGGCAGAGCAGTTTCTTTCGTTTTTCAAAGAAACATTTTCCTTTTGCCCGCGGACGAATAATAATTAGCTTTCCTTTCATCCAGTCGCTTTCCAATTCGATTACTCAACGATTAATTACTACAGTTCAGCGTTAGGCAAGTGGTCGTAGCAAGCGAGAAAAAGAAAGAGAAAGACAGGAGAGAGAGAGAGCGGTAGGCTAAGGGTTGATTCGAGTCATTGTGATGGAACGTTGTTGCGCGGCTGGACGTAGGATTAATGATACGTTTCATACTCGTTTTCGTTCATTGTCGATACTAATCGATTACGGGCCGTGCACGAGTTCCAGCGTCATTAGTTAAGATCGGAATAAATTTCGGGTGAAAGTGGTCTAGGGCCTAAGGGTCGATCGATCCTTCTGGTGATAAATTTACCTGTCAATTAAGCTTCATTTCAGCTTTCGGCCGCTCCGAGAAAATAGTTCGACACATTGTGCTGACGTCCAGCAGACGTAATTAAAACCGAGTGTGCCCTGGTACATTCGTAAACAAATCGATTGACGCAACAACACTTCCACCCGTGTCACAGGATATGTCCACGTCGATTATCGGACACGTTTTCTCCTCGACTTTAGAAGAAACTCGTTGTTTACGTAATTCCTAGCTCGCGTGAAGTGTCGTCGAAGAAGTTGGAAACATTGTCGCTTAATTAACAGACTTCGTTTCTACGAAATCCGCAGACCAGCGAAAGAAGAACATACATATATACATGTATAATGATGTTGACTTTCAAACATATTCCAAAAAGCATCGACGATGCTCGAGATTCATTATCATTCGAACGCTTCTACTTCAAATAATATAATACAATTACAAAATGAAATTGTATTATAATTACACGTATTAAAATTATATTATACATGCATTATACACGCAATAAAGATTTCATTACAAATTTATTTTATTAAAGGTTACGTTATAAAATTAACAAACGAAGATCACAAGGAACGAAACAACAAATAAACTTTTGTTGACTTTTTATTTTAATGTCGCTGATCACAACGGAATATTTTAATATATAAGGTAGTTAAAAAGTTATGCTTCGTGTTCTCCACGGAGGCAAAGGAATCCCAGCGCAAGTAAGTCGAAACATAAATCATTTTTCACAATAATTTTTGTTGCAAGTTCCTTAAATAGCCGGTGACTTATGAATGGTAGCGTAATTGGATACTATTTTACTGATGATAAAAATATTTCCGCAGAATTGTACGCGCGTTTGAGGATTTCTTCTTGTTGGATCGGAGGGACGCTGCAACACACGTCGTTCCCTCCTCCTTTCTCTTCTCGCGTTCCATTTCCGTCTCTTTCTCTCGACACTCCATCTTGCTTCTCTTCTGGATGCTGTGTTCTCTTCTCTGAAAGTCCCTTCGAAGAGGTAGGGCAC